AGCTTATTAAGTTCATCTCTAGGATAATATATTGTAAATCTTGTAAGTGTATTCTTATTTCAGTTTTGATAAAGTTACGATTGAATTGATGTTTCTTAATTTTAATTATGAAATTCCGTTAATCATACATTTCAAAGGAATATTTTATGCGCTCTTGTTTTATAAATAAGTTTCGGTGGTTAAACAAACCACTGTGTGCGGGATCAGGTCTGATTAATTATATTAGCACATCCTTAACCACAATGCCTATGATTTCAGCTTCAACGACGATATTTGGCGAGTGCAGTCTACCGACGAACATCCCGCCGTATTCGCCTGCCGGTGTGGCCCCGTTTTGTGGTGGAGCGAATCTTGGGCGCTGTACCTACAATCCATTCTTTTTGCTCTTTACGACCTCGGCGTTCCGCTGCCTGTGTCCTTCTGGCACCGTGCCAGCATATGTGACTGCTGACAACGTGACGTGTACTTTGAGTAAGCTGGCTTTGGTGTCTGTCTCACCATCAATGTAATGTTTACAGTTAAATTAAACTGATGTAAATATAAATATAAATATTGTTCATATTTATGTTGATGATGTTCAACGTATAGCGGTAATGGGGTGCTGTGGGACTTTTCTCTGGCATTGCATGGGCGGATCCAGGCTTGGAAGGGGGGGGGGTACGCGGATGCAAAGCTGATCCCCCCACTTCCTTGGCGTGGGGTTCGGGGCCCGCTGAAGGGCCCCGAAATTTTTGGTATTTTAGAGGGCGAACGGTGCCATGTGGTACGGTTTAGAACTATGATCCAGCTAGTCAAAATTCTTATTTCAAGAGGGACCATTGGAGTAATTTTTTTTCAGAAATCGAAGAGGGGAAGTCAGGACTCCCTGACACCCCCAAATTTGCCACAGCACTGCGTGGGCTGAACTAAGAGCCTTGCCATTAAGTATATTGACTAGATTTGTGTCTGTTTAAAATTTAACGGTCACTCAGGAAGGTGATGGTGTGGTGTTTTAAGCCAGAGCTTTCGACATCTGGATTCAATACTTCAAGAAATACTATTTTCGGATTCTGCAAAAACGTGTGCGATGACACATTATACACTGATGTATAACAATTATTTTTTGTTTTTGTTATTTTAATTTTGCTTTGGCAGAGGTCTGCACTCAATTGTTAGATGCATATGAAACTTATCATTTAATTTAAAAATAATAAAGCTTACTCAACCATAATACTTATTATAAAACAAATGTAAACCGGAAATTATATTACATTGAAAAAATCAAATGAGACCGGCCTTAAATCGAAAAAAATCAAAGAGTCAATGATTAAAATATTGCCCTGATTTTGATGAAAAAGAAAGAACAACCGCGTCTTAGCACACAGACTGGATAAAGTTTTAAAAATGGCTTTGCATTTTTTGAAAGTTAACTTGTACATTTGCATGGTCGAAAATTGATTTGCGTGTTTCAGTCAGTGGAACACCGTGTCGGACTGATTATGACTGCAACTCAAGGACAACAGATTATCTGGGCATCAGTTTAGGCAACAGGGCACAGGCTCTGTTCAATCAATATGATCTCTTTATTTAGTTGTATGTGTACATGTATTTTCACCAACGGATATTGATACAAAAGTAACGAAACAGTCTATATAGTTGTTTTATGTTAGAAAGAACATATAACTCCTTTTTGCACAAGGTTGGCTTTATTTTCACTTTATTCATACTTGCTGATAAGCCGATAGCCGATGGCCGGTCACTAAAATAAAAATAAAAAATACAATATAACATATTCAAAAGTATAATATAAAACAATAATTCTCATAAATTAAAACGGATACACTTACATAATTTGTGGAGTCTATATTTCATAGAAGAGAGTCATATCCTTCTCCTGTCCTCCAGTAAACAGAGTGTGTGTGTGTGTGATCTCAGTAGGTGTGGGCTTTTGTATTTATGCATCACATGAGTGAGTGACCACATTTCACATTTGCTTGACTGAACAGTTTTTGTCAATATTTTGTGGAATCCCAGAATAATAGTAAATTTTTAGATTCGAAATAAACGTTTTGTCTTAATTTTTTATCAAAAGAATTGGTTCTAAAAAAGAAAAAAAATCTGACAATGCATGTATGATGCAAAAACGAAATACACAATGGCTTAGGGTGTGTTTCAAAAGACGGCATCGTGTTAACGGAAATTGCCAAAACGCGACTGAATTTCGTTTTTATACTAAAATAATGTGATTGTGCCTCCTTTAATCTTCTGGATAATGTCAAACTGCATCTCTATTGTTTTTCTTTTGTTTCTAGCCGATTGTATCATTTATCTGCAGCTTCAACGACGGGCTTATTGTGGATGTTACCAGTGTATATACGTGTAATGGCGGAACTGCAGCAACACTGGGCTCGTGTATTGAAGTTAATGGCAGTAAGTGTGATCATATAGTCAGTTTGTTGCATAGTGTTGAGGTGGATCGCACTCAGAGAGAGAGAGAGATGCAAAGATACTACAGACAGCATCAAAAAGAGTGGAATGCCATTGTATTTGCCCTCCCACCCCACCCAGTACTACTGCGGAGAATATCCATGATATACATATACATATCGTAGTGAAGTTTAGGGAATTATGGCAATACACATAAGACACTTCCTGTAAGCATAACGTGATTTTTTCCTAGTTGAATAGATAATGTCGATGTTAAAGGCACTGAAAATTTTTATACTGATGTTGCGTTAGAAAAACTGTCAATTAAAAAAGGAACTGTCAGAAACTACGTGCATTTTACTAATGGGATGGTGACATTTTGTCAACGTTGACAACATGTTACAGTAGCCTGTGGAATTTATAATAAAGAATAGCAAAAAGAAAAATAAATAAAAATAAAAAACTGCTGTACATATACATTTACATGCAATTATAAAACATAACAACTTTGTAGTTAATATAACGAGGCATAAATTAATGGTTAACCAAAAATCCGTTGACATTACTAGTCGAAATGTACATTCATGTTGGCAATTAGGCATATAAATAAGTGTATCAATACGTAAGTAACCAGTAATTGAGAATCTTAAACGACCAGATAGTCGGTATGTAAATGATATATTTTTAATTATTAAATATAAATGTGGATATTAAATTTTTTGTTAAACTATTGTTTTAATTGGTGAAATATAATTAGTGGGCCTATACTTTGGTTTATTGGCTCATGTATATGCTGGTTTAACTAAATTATTATTCTATTTTTATTTATTTTATATTTTTCAGTTCCACCGTTGTCAAGCACCAGTTTTAAAGATACCGTCCTTCCACAGGCACTTCAGCGAGATCTCTGGAGAAGTCTGTTAATTCCAAATTACTCCGGGTTAGCTTTCAATCCGGCTGATATAAATATCTTCTATTCTGTCAACACTTTGGGGAATCTAGTCCCGACATGAACATCGCCCCCTTCCGACTAGAAGGCAATGAAAAACGCGGGGATTGAAAACCTTCATCGCCGATTATGCCCTTCAAATAATGTAGGCGGCTCCTCTTCTGCAGTACGTTCTATAATTCTACGCAAAACTAAGAACGTGCGTCTGTCATCCTGGGAATTATGTTCTGTTAGTCAACTGTTATGTCGTTATTGTTGCGCTTAATATATGAATGTATACTGTGTTCATTTGTTGACATGATAAGGGGAGCAAGGTGAATACCTTTCCCCCCTCTGGACTCCTTCATCCACCTACCCCAATACCGTACCTTGAAATGGCCTCCTACACGACGTGGTGATGGTAGTGTGCTGTTCAGATACCTTGCGTCGGGAAGCATTTATTATGCTTTTGTTTGCTTGCCCATTTATTGATGTCACCATATACATTTATTTTCCTCAAATCAAATTATATCTGCAATCTATAGTAAGCTTTAGAAATTACAAATAAAGAGTTTGTCATCTGAAACATGATGTGAATTAAACACCACTTCACATAAACCCCCTTGGCTCCGACAGTCACTACCCCACAGTCGTATTTACCGTGCTCCCGTCACAGCGGAACACTGGGTATATACTGCCTTCATTTAGTATGTATATTTATTCCGATGAGGCATCCACCTTACTGTGCAATCTGCACTAAATAACAGTTCATGGACCTTCATCATCTAAAATGCGTCCATTACAGTTGTTAATGACACATGATTATTTCTCATATGATTTTTAAATTACCTTGTTAATGCAGTTAATGAAATGTTCTTATCTTTGTCGAGCTAAAGGAAGAAGGATATGTTATATATCACATACATATACGTGTACTGTATATATACCTGGCAGACAAAATTGCATGTTGTTTTAAGAAGTTTTATGGTACAGCCATACTGTTATATGTCACATAAATCCACCCAACAATCAATAACTTGACCGAATTACTAGTACATAATTGGCTTTATTGTATTATAGAGTATAATGCAATAATGAACTTTACCACTCACCATACTAACGAACTTTTCTAAGTTTCTTCCAAGCGAGTGTTGACTTTTATAACGTTTAGAAAAAGCAAACGTTTAATCGAGGATTAAAAAAGACTGCTTAATTTTATCTCTTTTTATAGTAAACGCAATAAATTTAACAAAAGGTTTTAGACTTTCCTTTGTATTATGTTTACTGGTGTTATCTTATTTTCATTTATTTGATCATTGACAAACCGGAGATGTTAAAACAATGTCCGTTTTATGTGTGTTTTGCTATATATTGAATGGTTGAATAAAATATTATTATTATTATTATTTCAACAATATTAAACATTAAATTTAATATCAAAAATTTAATATTAAAATAGACACTACACACAGAATTGTAGAAATGATTAATTTGTATGCGCGTACCCGTAGTTTAATTAAGCTCTAATCATTACCACCCCCGTTAATGCCACCTGTTATCTAGCTCAGATATCTGCCCTTCTCGACCTCAAAGTTAGACGTGTGGTCATTTACGCAGAGATATTCTGTGTTTAATCTTGTCATCTGGACTCAAAGAGTGGATTTTCTGTCACTACACACATTTCCGGCAGCATTTGCGTCTCCCGCTTTGCAAGAGAACGACTTAACCTGCGACAGTGAATAACGATGGGTAAGTACACTAGTTCCAATAACTTTGTTTTAGGTTCACTGCATTAAGTTCAATTTAAAGACAAAATACTTCTTTTATGTCTTTATATGAAAAGATATAGTTGCAGTGATATTTCACACTTAAAGTTACTTTTAGAAGTGTCGTTTTTGATATGTCTGAAATCAATCTTTTACACAAAATTATGCTTTTAAAATGACTTACGAAAAGTGCTTTCTCAATATCAGATAGCAACATTTAAATTAACATGCCCTCATATGTGAACGGACTCATGACTTAGTTTATGTTAACACAACATTAACCAAACTGTCTATGATTTCAGCTTCCACTACGGTATTTGGCGAGTGCAGTCTGCCAGCGAACGTCCAGCCCTATTCGTCATCCCTTTCGGTCCCGAACTGTGAATCTTTTGCGCGTTGTACTTACAATCCATTCTTTTTACTCTTTACTGCCTCGGCGTTCCGCTGCCTGTGTGTTCCTGGTAGTGTGCCAACATATGTAACTGCCAACAACGTGACTTGTACCGAAAGTGAGTACATTTCCGTATTTGTCTCTCCGTGAATTAACGGTTTAGATATATTTTTCAAATTTATGGTGACGAATGCTTAACGGCCAGAGGTACTGAAGAGCTGTGGAATTCTTGTCTAGGATTACGCGGAATGAAACCAATCAAAACCTTGTCCTAAGTTTATTCAATAGATTTAGTTTGAGTTCCTTTGAAACGTGAGTGGCACTTAATTATGACAGTGCCATAGCTTAAGCCGAAACTTATCAAGACCAGAACAATGAAACAACAACCGTTTCACAATAATTTTTTTTCATTTTATTAACGTCCGCAAAGAGATACATATGTACGGTAAAGTTAAATAACTTGTTAAATAATAATAAATATGCACATGATGACAAATATTTGAAATGTCAGTAATTGCGCTCATATTATACCTAGCCCGTTAGAATATTATAAACACATGCTTGGGCTCTTGTATTTCAAAATTGTTAGACAAAAAACTGACATGTTATCAGCTTTGTGTAGTCATGTGATAAAGGTGATGTCACAATTGCAGAACTGCATGTATAGTAAGATGAACGCGGTGTTAAAGGTTAAAGGTACAATGTATACATTGTTTTTTTTTAGGGGGAGGGGGTGAAATTTGAATACAACGCAAAGATACCTTCTATGAAAGTATTTCGTTCACAAAGTTAAAATTTCTTCATTGGTTTGAATATTGGAAACTATGTTTAGCTTTTTTAGACATGGCTGTATAACCGACACGAGTGAAATTAAACTATTCATATTACAAAAAGCGTCAAATTCACGTATAACTAAAACCGGGATTATTATATGATAATTATGTGAACCATTTTGGATATTGCACATACGTACCCCACTGATTAAGTGTTAACATTTCCAGCATTACATGACGCACTGAAGTGATGCTCCAACTTTTTTCATTAGCATTGAAAGCACTCGTCATAGCCTCAGCAGGCAGGTTTGCACTCTCGAATTGCTCTCAATTTTTATCTGTAGTTATGTGAACATCATTATCTGATTTTGCGTGTTTCAGTCAGGGGAACACCGTGTCAGACTAATTATGACTGCAACTCAAGGACAACGGATTGTCTGGGCATCAGTATGGCCAACCCAACATTCTTTGGAAATTCTGGCACCCAAACACCATTCTCATCGGATTCGTTGACATTGTTGGCTGTAAGTATATTCTTAATTGAGCACACTGTTGTTGTAAAACAGCTAAAAGTAAACAACAATAAGTAGACAAAGAGCGTGAATCCGTGGTGTTAATTTGTAGTAATTGATGAGTGTAATTGCACTTCGCCATTCACATTTTCATATTGAAAAGGCATAACCCTGCAAGATATATTTATTTATATTGCATTCAGATTTTATCAGAGCACAATGGAAAAGTTACACAAATAAACTGAGAAATTAATAGATGTGATACATCACATTTCTAATGATTTCCTTGATTAATTGTAAAAAGCGTTAGATGGTGAGATATATAAAATCTTATAAGGAAAGAACCTACAAAGTTTTTTTGGTAGGGGCAGAAAGAAATTCATAAACTGACGAAGGGGCATGTGTTTCAAGCTTTCATGGTAAATTATAAAAACGCGACTGAATTACATTTTTTCCGAAATAATGAGGTAATACGCATGTCTTCTTTAACCTTCGAGATAATCTCGAATCTAAATAAACTAGTCATTAAGCACTGGGTTTTCACAATGCAAATAATCATTATTCGTTTATTTATTTTTTTATTTGTTTGCCAGCCCCTGGTATCAGTTATATGTAGCTTCAACGACAGGAACATAGTGGATGTAACCAAGTTATATTTCTGTTTTGGAGCAACCTCATCCACGTTGGGCCAATGTGCTGAACTAGGTGGTACCAGTAAGTGTTTGGATTGCAATGTATTACCTGGTATTGTAGGATGGAGAGAGAGAGAGAGAGAGAGAGAGAGAGAGAGAGAGAGGAGAAACAGAGAAGGAGATTAGTAGGCTCTTCTTTCATGAATGATCCACCATATTTGATACGCGGATCAGAAGATCCGAGTATCATCTATTGTGAATGACCTCAATTATATTTTTGCATGCAAAAACAAAAGACAGACAACGGTAATTAAGCAACCTTTCTATTTCATTCATGACTCTAGAGTGAAACTCTAGAGCATGGTCTGACCAGTCGTTAAATATCCACGACTCGGTGGAGAGGTTTAGCAAACGACGGACAACGAAGACGAAGGACGAACATGTGCACTATGTCATCACTTTACGCTCATCATAACCTCATTTTTCGTAGTTCGTCCTTTCAATGAAGGAAGATTTTATGAATTCTTCGTAAAAAAAGGTAGTACGAATTGAGTCCGTTCACACATTGACACACGTTTGATACGCGTTAAATCACGTTTACTGGTAAATGAACATAAGTTTCTTTGCATGATTGCCTTCAGGTTGTTTGATCGTAGGCCTAAGGGAAAGTGGATATCAAATCTACTGTTACAAATTGATCATTTTTTTCTCACCCTGCTCTGTTGTTATCGTATTCGTACTTTGTCTTCGAAACGGCACTCATAACTAGCGATCACTATCTGACAACTGCTTCGTGAAACGGGCCCCAGGGAGTTAAAACACTGAAAACCTTCCTATTAACGTCGCTTTAAAAGTAGTTCATAAGAGACTACCAAACACCCAATTTAGAAACTACCAATAGAATTGAGACCGGCGGTTCATGTGACTACTTATTTTATTTGTTACTAATTATAACAGCTTGTTTGTGGAATTTGACAAAGAAAATATCGAATGAAAGTTCGAACTGTAATAAATATAAATCTGGAAGAGAGCAACTTNTTTTCATTAGCATTGAAAGCACTCGTCATAGCCTCAGCAGGCAGGTTTGCACTCTCGAATTGCTCTCAATTTTTATCTGTAGTTATGTGAACATCATTATCTGATTTTGCGTGTTTCAGTCAGGGGAACACCGTGTCAGACTAATTATGACTGCAACTCAAGGGCAACGGATTGTCTGGGCATCAGTATGGCCAACCCAACATTCTTTGGAAATTCTGGCACCCAAACACCATTCTCATCGGATTCGTTGACATTGTTGGCTGTAAGTATATTCTAAATTGAGCACACTGTTGTTGTAAAACAGCTAAAAGTAAACAACAATAAGTAGACAAAGAGCGTGAATCCGTGGTGTTTGTAGTAATTGATGAGTGTTATTGCACTTCGCCATTCACATTTTCATATTGAAAAGGCATAACCCTGCAAGATATATTTATTTATATTGCATTCAGATTTTATCAGAGCACAATGGAAAAGTTACACAAATAAACTGAGAAATTAATAGATGTGATACATCACATTTCTAATGATTTCCTTGATTAATTGTAAAAAGTGTTAGATGGTGAGATATATAAAATCTTATAAGGAAAGAACCTACAAAGTTTTTTGGTAGGGGCAGAAAGAAATTCATAAACTGACGAAGGGGCATGTGTTTCAAGCTTTCATGGTAAATTATAAAAACGCGACTGAATTACATTTTTTCCGAAATAATGAGGTAATACGCATGTCTTCTTTAACCTTCGAAATAATCTCGAATCTAAATAAACTAGTCATTAAGCACTGGGTTTTCACAATGCAAATAATCATTATTCGTTTATTTATTTATTTTATTTGTTTGCCAGCCCCTGGTATCAGTTATATGTAGCTTCAACGACAGGAACATAGTGGATGTAACCAAGTTATATTTCTGTTTTGGAGCAACCTCATCCACGTTGGGCCAATGCGCTGAACTAGGTGGTACCAGTAAGTGTTTGGATTGCAATGTGTTACCTGGTATTGTAGGATGGAGAGAGAGAGAGAGAGAGAGAGAGAGAGGAGAAACAGAGAAGGAGATTAGTCGGCTCCTCTTTCATGAATGATCCACCATATTTGATACGCGGATCAGAAGATCCGAGTATCATCTATTGTGAATGACCTCAATTATATTTTTGCATGCAAAAACAAAAGACAGACAACGGTAATTAAGCAACCTTTCTATTTCATTCATTACTCTAGAGTGAAACTCTAGAGCATGGTCTGACCAGTCGTTAAATATCCACGACTCGGTGGAGAGGTTTAGCAAACGACGGACAACGAAGACGAAGGACGAACATGTGCACTATTTCATCACTTTACGCTCATCATAACCTCATTTTTCGTAGTTCGTCCTTTCAATGAAGGAAGATTTTATGAATTCTTCGTAAAAAAAGGTAGTACGAATTGAGTCCGTTCACACATTGACACACGTTTGATACGCGTTAAATCACGTTTACTGGTAAATGAACATAAGTTTCTTTGCATGATTGCCTTCAGGTTGTTTGATCGTAGGCCTAAGGGAAAGTGGATATCAAATCTACTGTTACAAATTGATCATTTTTTTCTCACCCTGCTCTGTTGTTATCGTATTCGTACTTTGTCTTCGAAACGGCACTCATAACTAGCGATCACTATCTGACAACTGCTTCGTGAAACGGGCCCCAGGGAGTTAAAACACTGAAAACCTTCCTATTAACGTCGCTTTAAAAGTAGTTCATAAGAGACTACCAAACACCCAATTTAGAAACTACCAATAGAATTGAGACCGGCGGTTCATGTGACTACTTATTTTATTTGTTACTAATTATAACAGCTTGTTTGTGGAATTTGACAAAGAAAATATCGAATGAAAGTTCGAACTGTAATAAATATAAATCTGGAAGAGAGCAACTTCTGTATTTTCTTGGGGATGATTCAATCAGATGTTTACCCAAGAATACTTGACATTTATTGAGCAAAGGTTGAGGTTGTTTGGACACGAGGCCAAGCCTATGGATGTCACTAATTTAAATGAAGTGAACTGTTTAACTCGGGAAAACTAAACGAACAAATAATTTGTTTATAAATGATAGATAATTTATTTCTCTCGGTGAAGGATGATCAAATGTCTTTTATTTTGGTGTATTGATTCATGTGTGTATTTATTGGATTTTACCGCCATTTAATTATGATTTTCATTTCTTTCAGTTCCACCGGTGACAAATATCAATTACGAAGATATTGTCTTCCCACAGGCACTTCAGAGGGATCTCTGGAGAAGTCTGTTAATTCCAAGGTACCCCGGGGTGACATTCAACCCGAATGATATTACTACCTACTTTTCAACATCCACTCTGGACAACATTGTTCCGGTGTAACGAAATTGAGGGTCCACGTAACAGAAAGTCCGCCCTCCATTTTGTAAGGTTAGGGTCACCTTGCGTAGGTGGGTCAAAATCTATTTCGAGACTTACCTCAAATGAATGGGAGACATACTCTCTGAAATGAAAAACTTTTTTGCCAATAATTTCTATCAGAGAGCGTGGTCATGACATAGAAATAGGAGCGTGTGTCTTTCATCTTGGAAATGATGTTCTGTTAATGAAATAATCTGTTATGTAATTAAAGTTGCTGTAATATTATTAACTTGGTATTTATTCCCCATTTGCAATTAATTTGTACCCGTCACAATAGAACACACACATATGTATATATGTATATCGCGTCTATTAATAATGTTTCATGCCAATAAGGCAAACANTTTTTGCATACAAAAACAAAAGACAGACAACGGTAATTAAGCAACCTTTCTATTTCATTCATTACTCTAGAGTGAAACTCTAGAGCATGGTCTGACCAGTCGTTACATATCCACGACTCGGTGGAGAGGTTTAGCAAACGACGGACAACGAAGACGAAGGACGAACATGTGCACTATGTCATCACTTTACGCTCATCATAACCTCATTTTTCGTAGTTCGTCCTTTTAATGAAGGACGATTTTATGAATTCCTCGTAAAAAAAGGCAGTACGAATTGAGTTCGTTCACACATTAATACACGTTTGATACGCGTTAAATCACGTTTACTGGTAAATGAACATAAGTTTCTTTGCATGATGGCCTTCAGGTTGTTTGATCGTAGGCCTTAGTGAAAATGGATATAAAGTCAATAGTTACAAACTGATAATTTTTTTCTCACCCTGCTCTTTTGTTATCGTATTCGTACTTCGTCTTCGAAACGGCACTCATAACTAGCGAGTACTAACTGACAACTGCTTCGTGAAACGGGCCCCAGGGAGTTAAAACACTGAAAACCTTCCTATTAACGTCGCTTTAAAAGCGGTTCATAAGAGATTACCAAACACCCAATTTAGAAACTACCAATAGAATTGAGACCGTCGGTTCATGTGACTACTTATTTTATTTGTTACTAAATATAACAGCTTGTCTGTGGAATTTGACAAAGAAAATATCGAATGAAAGTTCGAACTGTAATAAATATAAATCTGGAAGAGAGCAGCTTCTGTATTTTCTTGGGGATGATTCAATCAGATGTTTACCCAAGAATACTTGACATTTATGGAGTAAAGGTTGAGGTTGTTTGGACACGAGGGCGAGCCTATGGATGTCACTAATTTAAATGAAGTGATCTGTTTAACTCGGGAAAACTAAACGAACAAATAATTGGTTTATAAATGATAGATAATTTATTTCTCTCGGTGAAGGATGATCAAATGTCTTTTATTTTGGTTTATTGATTCATGTGTGTATTTATTGGATTTTACCCTCCATTTAATTATGATTTTTATTTCTTTCAGTTCCACCGGTGACAAATATCAATTACGAAGATATTGTCTTCCCACAGGCACTTCAGCGGGATCTCTGGAGAAGTCTGTTAATTCCAAGGTACCCCGGGGTAACATTCAACCCGAATGATATTACTACCTACTTTTCAACCTCCACTCTGGACAACATTGTTCCGGTGTAACGAAATTGAGGGTCCACGTAACAGAAAGTCCGCCCTCCATTTAGGTTAGGGTTAGCTTGGCGTAGGTGGGTCAAAATCTAGTTCGAGACTTACCCGCTCAAATGAATGGGAGACGTACCAGTACTCTCTATCTTGGAGGAATCTCTATAACGTTACACCGGTATAAACATCATCCCTTCGAGTAGAGGGAAATAAAAACATTTTTGCCAATAAATTTCTATCAGAGAGGGTGGTCATGACATAGAAATAGGAGCGATGTCTTTCATCTTGAAATGATGTTCTGTTAATGAAATAATCTGTTATGTAATTATAGTTGCTGTAATATATATATATATATATATATATATATATATATATATATATATATATATATATATATATATATATTCATTTAATGTTATTACACGAATACTATAATCACGTACTGTTTAACCAACACATAATAACTTTGTCTACTGGTTAAGTGTGAAACCGAAAAATGGTACATGTAATATTTTAGTAAAAAAAACCTAAGATATCACTGGCAGATGGTCAATTGTTTGGTTTTCTTCTCATGGTAAATATTTAGTGTATCTTCCCCACCCGCCTGGGATTCATTATCTACAATGAGAGTTTAAAGTTTCTCCATAATCTTGTAGATTGATATCAAAGAGTGCGTCGTATAATTTCAATTTCAATTTCAATTCAATTTATTTCTTTACTGGTGCATAGATTATCATGACCTTGTACAATATGATATACTAACGACATTACAGTTTGGTGCTTTACCATTTTTATAGTCGGTAATTGTGATACCAGTTTGTGAATGAACAAATATAAAAAAGCTGTGTGTTATTCTGTATAAGGTACGATGTATTCTTTTTTGATGGTCAACACTCGCTTTTTAGTACTGATCTGTGTGTTTTTTGTACACCGAGCGCGATAAAACAAAATATTAGGTAATATAATAACAATATTTTCCCGATCAATACATTAATTCATGAGAATAATGATTAAAGTCGGAATTTGTTTTCTTTTGAAAATGAAATGACTTAAATCATTAAAACTATTTTTGTATCATTCTGGAATTCAAACTACAGTAATGCTGCAAAGAAGTAGCCAAGTATATAATTAACCCCCTAAAAGCTGAGTAAGGAATCATGATATCATACACACTTCACTATGAAAAAATACAGAGAACCTGAATAGAGCTAAGGTTATGGAAGATAACCATGCGCAGATATGTTCAAATTATCTCGATCTGTTTGTCGCGTTTTAAGTGTGTTGAAAAAAAACATCTAGACTTGCTCTCAGAGGTTTCATGAGCCGATCTCACTTCAGTGAGTGAACACGAGATAAATTTTATCCAGACGAGGAAATGATTTCATCAGTGCTGTTTTCTGCATTACATTTGCGATAAAGTTGAGATTGTACCTCGTGCGTGAAACATCAGGGGCAGCATAGTTTTGTCCTCTATGGGAAGTTCAGTAGCCAACAAAAAGCCCTAGCTAAATACAACACTTGTCACCGAGCTGAACGGAGAAATTACTACTGTATTGTCTCGCCTTCGTCTCGATAATACACCCGTAATATTTGACGTACAGGGTACATGTACATTTCGGTGACTCGTATCGTGACTTAATTGCAGCATAGAAGTATAAATTACGAAATTTGGTAATTAGTGATGGGAGTGTTGTTGTTCTTAAGTCTTGTATTTGCACTGATGGCGAGTGGCTTCGTCAGTTAACATTACTCAGGTTCTTTTTGTAAGGGGTCAAAGAGACACAAGATATTAACAATTAATCAATATATTTTCTGTTTTTACTTAAAACAGAATAAGAATAAAGAGTTGACACCATCCACTATACGTGTCAGATGCGGGCAATTGTTGTGTCGATAAACTCATTAATTCCAATTTTACCACTTGTCTTGATCTGTAATACTGTAAAAATAATACGAAGTCAGGACAGTAAATATAATTAATTCAAAATATTGTATTTTAGAACCCGTGAACAATGTAAACTGACAAGAGCATACTTGATGTGTTATTGGCGCCAGGAAATTCCTTTTTCAGAGGTGTGCGATCGTTACCCTTACTGCGCGTCCCATTGAGTATTTTCGGTTGAAGCCAGTTTTATTTACCGAGGAAAGGTTCATATTATTTAGCGTGATCCGCAAGGCACCCCATTCCCGTGACTCGTCGGTGAGACTTTTCATTTGTCGTCCTTCGTGAAACTAAGTTATTATCCTCGGTGATTCGCGATTTTCAACGCGCATTTTCAATAAGATATAAAAAATGGTTTATTATTGAGATTTGATGATTTTCTTTCCGTGTGATCACTACCCCCCCCCATGGGCCCCTCCTTGCTCTCAGGGGGGGGGATGCCTAAATGACATGTTCCCTGCGAAACGATCGCAGCTAGAAGTCACTGGGGAAAATTTAAAGATGCAACATACATGTATGTGAATCGTTGCTATATTAGTCTGTACATTCAGGTACGGTAGTTGCTGAAAGGCGATGTGCATAACAAGCAGTAGATCTACGTACATGTAGTAATATACTGAACATATATGAGGAAGTATCAGTATAAGCACTACATAGATTAAATCATTTCACCCTGGTGATAATATTTATTTAGTGGCAGCTAACCCAGGGGCAGATCCAGAATTTTTGAAAGGGCTTCAGTTTTTTTAGGGATTGACAGGCCTCGAATGGCGAGGCCGATCACTTCCTTGGCGTCAGGTTCGAGGCACGCTCGAGCGGCAAGCGGCGCCATTTGGTGCGGTTCAAAACTATGATTTATCCAGACGTTTTTTCGTGCGTTTTTTAACAGGAACCGAAATGGGGCCATGTCCCCCCTGACACCCACCCTAATTTGCCCAATGTAACCCCTACCAGTAGTGTGGCCGTCCCCGAGTAATATCAATTATTTAGACTGAAATCAGATGTCTGTCTTGATAGGAGACCAATTTTTACGGTTTATTCTTGTTTACAGCGACCATCACTGCATGAAAAATCAGCTTTTATATATCCTGAAAGGCGATCAAAAGGCCTCCTTTTATTCACCTTCTCACACCTTTCCTAGACCTTTCGTTTTTTTAGGAAAGGTGTAAAAGACGATCTTTTAAATGACTTTTGTATAAGTGAAAAGGTATACAAATGGCCCACTTTTCTTCACCTTTTCTCTACTCAAAAGTTTAACTTTCATAAACCTTTTGCTGCAAAAAGACGATCTTTTGCTTGAAGAAAAGGTATTCTCAAGTTCATCATTCATCAACTTTTTGCATGCTAAAAGACATATGAAAGACCCACTTTTCTCTACCTTTTCCTGCTAAAAAGTCCAACTTTCAGATGCCTTTTGTGCAACTTTTCAGATACAAAAGATAACCTTTTCAAACCTTTTTATTTAAGAAAAGACTGCATTTTCCCTTCTTTTGTTACGTATTTTAATGTAATATTTATTGCCGCGATTTAATGATATATTGATAAACAGAACAACACATGGTGTNTGGTCCGTCATGGTACCTTCACCACTCTCCCGGTCCGTCATGACACCTTCACCACTCTCCCGGTCTGTCATGGCACCTTCACCACTCTCCCGGTCCGTCATGGTGACCTCTGCCGCGGTGTTCTGGGCTTTTCTGGTGTCTCTTGTGCTACCTTCACTGCATGAAAAATCAGCTTTTATATATCGTGAAAGGTGATCAAAAGGCCTTCTTTTATTCATCTTCTCACATCTTTCCAAGACCTTTCGTTTTTTTAGGAAAGGTGTAAAAGACGATCTTTTGAATGACTTTTGTATAAGTGAAAAAGGTTTACAAATGGCCCACTTTTCTTCACCTTTTCTCTACACAAAAGTTGAACTTTCATACACCTTTTGCTGCAAAAAGACGATCTTTTGCTTGAAGAAAAGGTATTCTCAAGTTCATCATTCATCAGCTTTTTGTATGCTAAAAGGTATATTAATGACCCACTTTTCTCTACCTTTTCCTGCCAAAAAGTCCAACTTTCAGATGCCTTTTGTGCAACTTTCCAGATACAAAAGATAGCCTTTTCAAACCTTTTTATTTAAGAAAAGACTATATTTTTCCTTCTTTTGTTAGGTATTTTACTGTTATATTTATTGCGGCGCTTTAATAATATATTGATAAAACAGAACAACACATGGTATAAACTTTTATAATTTATTCCATTATAACATTTTTGTGCAGGTTGCGCTTGTCTTTTGAAAGTTTTTTGATAATCCAAGAAAGGCCCAGGAAATGTTCTCTAAATGTACTTTCAGCCAGATCCACTAGTCCTACTATATATGCGTAACTTCTCGTTCTCGTGGGAGTAGTTTTTCCGGAAGCGTCTGTCAAGTGAACACTTTGCCTGCCCAAATCTTTCCCTTTTGCCTCCTGGAAAATAGGATGTATGTAATGATAAATATTGTTTTTTGGTAACAGTCCATTTTAATGCTAATCAAATACGATAAAAACAATGCCAACTTTTATTATGTTTAATTTTCAAACTATGGACTTAAAGCCATCAAAAGGCTTAAAACAGATTTTACAAGGTTTAAAAAGGATCCTATAATAGTACCTCTTCCTTTTTTTCCATATTTTTTGTTTAAGCTCATCCAGTCCTTTTGCTTGTTTTAGAACATCCTCCTACTTTTCAGATCTGTAGTATCTTTTAATGGCACCTGGTAAAGAAATAAAAAGAGTGAATTATTTGAATGTAATATCAGGTAAAAAGTTTTCAATTAGGGAAATATGAATAATGAAATAGCTACAAGTAATGAAGAAAATATGCATTCATTATCACTGATAGGCAACTTGATTGGGCCTTGTACAGAACTTAGAAAAGCTCCTGTATTACATACCCCCATTCTTCTCTTCCAATTATTTTGCTTTAGTCCATCCACTTTGTTTGCTTTTATATGCTATTAAGCCATGTAGAAAGCCTGTCTTTTAATAGCATCTGGAAAAGAAATAAAGAGATTTTTTAAGACAGTGAATTCTTTTAGTGTAATATCATACAAACAGTTTTCATTGATGAAAACATGATTACTGCTCAGGATTCATACAGCAACATAAAAGCAAATTGAAGGATTTCTGAGGCTCTAAATCATGACCTTTTCAATGACTCTTTTAATGGCCTTACTGTCATTTTTAGTTTACATAGAAAAGAGGTGCATCATTTTACACAAACTTTGTATTTTAATACACTAATGACAAAACATGAGAAAAAATTGAAAGGTTAAAAAGGGCATTCCCCCAGCATGCTACTGTCTACATTCAGGTTAAAAACAACAAGATTCGTAATAATCATTCAACAAATTTCTAACTGATCAAATTCAAGTACTTTTTAAGACAAAAATAATGAAATACAAGGCCTTGGTAAGGCTAATAGCAATTTCAAGTACTTTAAATGTCATAAACAGACTGAATACACGTACAAGGCTACATTCAAGCAGTCAAAGTGCTGTTTGAACCCTGCGAGTGAACCAGTGCATTGATTATATAACCCTGCCTGGAATTTAGGTCAAGGAATGTAGGTCGACTCAATGGGATTAATACAGGCCAGTTTAATACATGTACAGAATCTTTACTTGTACGCGTGGCCGTACTTTGACGTAAACTTTTTGCAGTATTCTAATAAAAAGTTCAGCAAGTTTGATTAACTATTGTTTTACGATCGTGATAATCTTATTTCGGCACGGTCTGTTCTCCGTGCATAAAAGCCCTCTTGGTCGTCCCTGACACGGATGTTCCCTGAAATATGATTGATTCAAATGTTATATTAGACCTACCTGAGGCATTTACACCTTCTCTTCATCCTCATCAGTTATATTATCGCCGCAACAAACGCCATCTTGCAAAGAAGTCGACCATAATCAATACGGAGGCTTAAAAAATCTTCTGTGACCGGCCTACACAGCCTAGCAGTCCCCGCGCATTTTTAACCGCCTGGCCGTGCGCACGCGCAGATAGTCTGTAATGGGATATCTTTCGCGCCGATTCTCTAGCATTGACCTAACGCTATATTAATGGCAAGAAGAACGCACCTTTTGCCTCTTGTTTTATTCAAGACTAAAACAGAAAGAGGCAATAATATAGATCACTAGACAGGGGGCAACCGGTCATCGTTTCACAAGGTAGGTGAAATAGTGATTTCAGTAATGTTCGCACAGTGTATCTTAACACAAATTATAGCCAAAGCATGCTTCTGGGATTAAAGCGGGATTCTTTCTCGAAGCACTGCATATTGCAGGGTAATTTAGCCGTCTCTTGAGAAAGGATCGAATTATACTGAGTTTCATTGGGCTTGGCTTTTGTCTGTTCTAACGTTTGACCGGTTATACTCACTGTGAACTTTGAAAATATATCTGCACGTCCACGATACGGGGTAACAACAAGGGGTTATCATTTTAAAAGTGTGTCAAAATATTCCCATGTGTTGGATTACAAGGGGGGGGGGGGGCTTTGATGCACGACAACCAAATCACAGCTAGCGTGTAGTCTCATTTCCCGATTCAGATTCGGCCCAGGGACTTAAGCATAAAGAGTGGAGATTTCCATTGATGACATAATGACCAGGTCACATGATTATTAAATGAAACTTACGGTTCAGGATCGTAGCATGCTCTCCCATCTCTTTGGAGTTAAGTAAACTCTTTCCGAATTATTTTTATATGTGTTTAATGTTACATTTCGTAAAATTTATGAATTTAAAGCAAAAACACATTGAAATTTCAATGCTTATGTCACAGTGTTGTTACCCAGTATCGTGGATGTGCAGATATGGTAACGCTCAGCTTTAGCAATTGAATTGTTTTGGTACTATATCATGATATGGCTTCAAATCCTTGAAATTCAAGCATAAACTTCCATGTTTCAATTATTCAGTATGTCTTTTCTTTTATAAAGGAATGGGGTGTCCCAAGGATGAAAAAGGAGTGCCTGTCGTCACTAGAAAAGAGATGAACATCTAAAAGAAGGCTGCGTTTCTGTGTTCCTGTTACATGAATTCCCAGTCTGCAGCCACAATAGAAATTGTTAACCTACATGTATAACCTCACTGTGTTTACCTCAGACCCCCTTTCTGTCAGATTTATGGACTTAAACATGCTAAAATAGTAAAGGAGAGACTGACTCGCTCTGAGCAAGGAGAATAAGCAAACAGTTATGTATGGTTGATAATTTTCCTCTGATATTTAGATTAACTACAGCAGTGTAAGCAAGATGAATTAGGGATATGCAAACAGTTACAGTCTGTCAATAATATTACCATTTCCAATATAAACAAATTCAAACTGCATAGCTGATTACTACTTATCTAACTTCAGTGAAATATTTCCATCATGCCCAGGGCCTTACTATTAGGGACTATGCATGAGATAAAACTTGCTCTCTGGAGCCCTAAACACATCATAAGAATTGTAGAGTGGTTTTCTCCTTAGAAACGATCCCCTTGTCAGGCAAACTATGGAGAGGTGGCCTCTGGCATATATTGTAATTATTATTATTATTATTTTTTTACTTGCTACAATCACTGCAAATACTGACATAACTGCAAATAACAAAGTTAGTGACGAGAGATCCTATAACTTTTTTGTCAAGGAGAGGTGGTTTTCTGTTTAGAAATGATCCTCTAGCCGGGCATATTATGGGGAGGTGACCTCAAACACTATTTTGACTTGCTACAATTAGTGCAAATACCGACATAACTGCAAATAACAAAGTTAGTGACGAGAGATCCTATAACCTTTTTTGTCAAGGAGAGGTGGTTTTCTGTTTAGAGACAATCCTCTAGCCAGGCAAATTATGGGGAGGTGACCTCAAACACTATTTTGACCTGCTACCATTAGTGCAAATACTGACATAACTGAAAATAACAAAGTAAGAGACGAGAGATCCTATAACCTTTTTTGTCAAGGAGGGGTGGTTTTCTGTTTAGAGACGATCCTCTAGCCAGGCAAATTATGGAGAGGTGACCTCAAACACTATTTTGACTTGGTGCAATCAATGCAAAAATCCTGACATTACTGAAAATAACAGTTAGTGACGAGAGATCCTATTGCCTTTTTTGTTGAGGAGGGGTGGTTTTCTGTTTAGAGACGATCCTCTAGCCAGGCAAATTATGGAGAGGTGACCTCAAGCACTTTTTTGACAGTCAATGCAAAAATCCTGACATAACTGAGACAGCAACGATAGCTTTTGTCCAGAATTTTTTTTTTTTTTTTTTTTTTTTTTTTTTGTCATGGCGATGGAGATCATTTCCTGTGAAAGAAATTATCTAGGCAAATATGGAGATGTGACTTCTGACATATAAATTTTTGATTTGCTGTATTTAAATCCTGACAATATTGGAATAAAAATATAAGTTACTTTCGATTCTGAAAGTTGTTTGTAGTTCAAAGCGTCAAAATTATATGTCTACCTCAGGTGGAAGGCGGTGAACATTTCTTTCACTGCACTGAATGCTATATATTTGTACATATACTCCAGCCAATCTAAGATTGCGTAATTATTTCTCCAAAATGCAAAGCACCACATTTAATCTATCTGTTGAATACTTTAATCAAAGTCCAAAACATTTCATCATGCAAACAATTTGCAAAAGTATTCGCTTTTTCCATACTGCGCTTACTGTAAAATGCGGAATTAAGTCATGTACATAAAATAAAAAGTATATATACAAAAGATCACCACGCGATATTATAAAATATTATAAAACGGAATGTAAGGTGGCCTTTCGCACTGTAAAAGGTGATAGTTGAACTTTTGAAAACTGAAAGTTAATGAAAATGTGAATGATGGTCTTTCCGAGAGATAAAAGTTGATAAAAAGATGACCTTTTACAATTGAAGGGTGAAAGATGACCTTTTCGTCAGGAAAAGATGATCAAAGATGAGGGATCATCTTTCGATAACATTTTGTAGATAAATGAAAGGCGATAAAAGGTGTTTTTTCATGCAGTGCTTGTCCCATGCTGACATTTGAAGATCTGATGAAATAATGGTTATGACAGTGTTTTTAAAGTTTTTATTTTTAAAATGTCTTAAGAGGGAAAGAAAACAGAAAACAGAAAACATTGCAACAATATATAATAACCAATTACTTCTGTAAATAAAATTCAGTCCTGATTTTCGAAGAAACCTGCCTTTTACCAAACAAACCACTCAGCACGTTTGAAGGAAAATGAAAAATACGTTTTGGTACTTAGGGGCCGTACTTCATCAAAATACGTGTAAAAACACCGAAATTTTGATAACTATCGTAAAAAGACCAAACAAATCCACATCGCAATTATAAAGTAAAATAAGTTTTGGGAATACGGTTTGGCACTTACAGGGAAAACGTCACAAAAATCGATTACTTCAAATTTGTGAAATTAAGCTCATTATATCAAGCAAAGCCCCCAGTGTATTTAAAGTAAAAGCCAAATACGGTAAGGTCTGACAGCGACGATACGGACAGAAACAGTGATTAGATTATGTAGTATAAATGCATAATACGAGAAAACGGCCTTGGACATTATTTTTGTATGATATAAACATTGTTATTAGTGGAGACGATATAATTTCTCGGTGTCATCAGAGGAGACACATTGACGGATAATAATAATAATAATAATAATAATAATAATAATAATAATAATAATGTATCGAACAACAAATGTGTTTACATCCATAAAAA